TTAGGGTTTGGGGTTCAGGGGTTTCGAGGACCAGGGCTTACGGTTTAGGTCTTCGAGTTTCCAGTCCAAGCCGAAGCTTAACCTTAAACCCTAAGCCCTAAACCCCATACCCTAAACCTTAAACCCTACACCCTAAACCCTAAGCCCAAAACCCTAAACCCTATACTTGTAGGATACACAGGGGACAAGGCTCAAGTTGAAGCGTGAGCTTGCGCGTAAGCGAGGCCGAGGGTTCTGGGTGAAGGGCTCCTGCCTGGTTTTGGGCCCTGTGGGGTTCAACCGTAACTATGAAACCCGAAAAACCCTAAACCCAAAACCTTAAACCCGAAAAACTCTAAACCCAAAACCTTAAACCCAAAAGACCCTAAACCCCAAGCCCAAAACCTTAAACCCGAAAAAAACCTAAAACCCGAAGGCTCTAAACTTTAGGCACTACCGCCCTGAACCCCAATACCGCACTATCGCGGGATGGTAATATCAGGGCCTTGGAAATTAGAATAGGGTTTTGGGGCCCATTATACTATAATTATAATAAGGAATCCCCAAATTTAAGGCTCAGTTTAGTGTAGGATTTTGGTGTATGCTATACTATAGTTATAATAAGGAATCCCAAAAAATGGTATAGGTATTTATTATAAGGCCCTATATTACAACGCGAAATCTCGCCTTGAGCGGATCGCGAAAATCTGGCATCCGAGAACTGAACTGCTTGAGATCTTTAGGCTTGGAAATTCTGGGGTTTAGGGTTCGAAATTCTAGAGTTTAGGGTTCGAAATTCTAGGTTTTTGGATTCGACATTCTAGGGTTTAGGGTTCGCAATTCTACGGTTTTGGGTTCGAAATTCTACGGTTTTGGGTTCGAATTTTTAGGGTTTTGGGTTCGACATTCAGGGTCTACGGCTCGAAGTTCTGGAGTTTAGGGTTCGAAATTCTAGGGTTTAGGGTTCGAAATTCTGGGGTTTTGGGCGCTTGCTGCAGTACTCCCGCACGAAGGCCTTGGTTCTGTCCGTCAGTCCCACGAGCTTCGCATCGTCCCTGCGCCGATAGACACGGTCGAAGTTGCCATGATACTTCACTCGCGTCGCCCTGATCTCGGCTTCTTTTGAACGGAACTGGTACGTAGCCAGTCCCTTCCAGCTACACCTGGTACAGCTGCGACAGGACAGCCGGACATAGTAACTCTGCGCCTCGGCGCGGTTGTTGGAGCTCAGTACGACCTCAAAAAAGGGCTCCTGCTTGCGGCAAACCTCCCTGAGGTTCGAAATTCTAGGGTTTTGGGTTCGAAATTCTAGGGTTTAGGTTCGAGATTATAGGGTTTACGCTTCGAAATTCCAGGGTCTAGGGTTCGAAATTCTAGGGTTTAGGGTTCGAAATTCTGAGGTTTAGGGTCGAAATTCTAGGGCTTAGGGTTCGAAATTCTAGGGTTTAGTGTTTAGGGCTTGGTGTTTCGGGCCAGGGCTTTCGGGTGTTGGGGTTTAGGGGGTTTAGGGCTTCAAGGGGGGGGTAGAGTTTAGGGTTTAGGGTTTAGGGTTTAGGGTTTTGGGTTTTGGGGTTTAGGGTTTAGGGTTTAGGGTTCTGCGTTTAAGGCTCAAGTTTTGGGGTATAGGGCCGTTTTCGGGCCAGGGTTTGAGGGTTTAGGATGTTGAAGAATGCTGTTTAGGGTTTAGAGATTGGGGTCAAACTTGAGCCGTGCATGGCCCCTCGAATCGAAAAGTCACTTTATGGCGAGTGCAAATCTGCCCTATAACCCTACCCTCGATCTACCCTAAACCCTAAACCTCAAACCCTAAACCCCCACACCCCAAACCCTAAACTCTAAGCCCGAAAGGCCTAAACTTATGAAATCCTACAGCCCCAGAGCCCGTACCCGAAACCCCTGCACCTAAACCCAGACCCAGAGAGCCCAACACACGTCATCTATCCAATATGCCTTAAATTATGGGTTTAGGGTTTAGGGTTTAGACCCTACTAATGGAATATACCTTAACTTAAAGGGGCCTTAATATCATGGTTTAGAGGTATATTCCTTAATTAAGGGGGTTTTGAAACTGGAGTCTCTGGGATCCCTAAACCCTAAACCCCATCGTCCCTAAACCCCAAACCCTAAACCCTATCGTCCCTAAAACCTAAACCCCAAACCCTAAACCCGATCGTCCCTAAACCTCACACCCTAAACCCTATCGTCCCTATAACCTCAAACCCTAAACCCTATTGTCCCTAAAACCTCAGACCCTAAACCCTAATCCCTATCGTCCCGAATCCTCAAACCGTACACCCTAATCCCTATTGTCCCTAAAACCTCAGACCCTAAACCCTAATCCCTATCGTCCCGAATCCTCAAACCGCACACCCTAATCCCTATTGTCCCTAATACCACAGACCCTAAACCCTAATCCCTATCGTCCCAAATCCCCAAACCGTACACCCTAATCCCTATTGTCCCTAAAACCTCAGACCCTAAACCCTAACTACCCCTATAAAACAAACCCTAAAGGTACCCCTATAGATCCCTTTAAAGGAACCCTTATAGATCTATTTAAGGGACCCTGTCGTCCCTACCCCCCCCCGCCGCCCCCTTATGCAGAGGGCCTTGGAAAGGAGCGCCGCCGCCTCAACTCGCTCCTGCCCGGACTCTTTGGGCTTAAGGCGTTTAGGGCTTAGGGTTTAGGGCTTATATAGGGCTTAGGGTTTAGGGGTTTAGGGGTTTAGGGTTTAGGGTAGGGGCTAAGTTATGCAATAACTATGATAAGGAGCCCCCAAAACCCT